TCAGCACTTGATCCGGATCTTGAGCGTACCTGCAAAAATTTAAATGAAATATTCTAAGACATAAGATGAAAGTTGAAGTACTTCGGAGAAATAAAGTAGGGAAAGAGTATTTTGGCTCATGATTGTGAGAAGTCGAATGACGCGTCTGGTCATGCCCCAAAACTTGATGTTATTTTCTTGATTCCTGTGTTCCTGCACTCAAAGAAAATTTTAGTTTGGGAAGGGGTGTTGATTTGCATCGACTTGTGAACTGAAGCTTCGTCACTAGAATTCTTCGACACCCTGTCAGTACCGCACATAGTTTTTTAACCTAGAGACTTGGTAGGTGGATGAGTAGAGATAAAAAAACTTTTTTTTGAAAAGAATTAGCTTGTGTTTCTAGAAAAATAAGTATACTTCGTATATATTAGGTATATATATATATAGTAATTCTCCAGCGTTTTAGATTATGACATGTTCCGAAGTCCATTGAGCTTTCCATTTTGTTGACTATATCCAACAAAGTCCTCCTGTAGCTTTTACCCTTCTGATGAAGCTTTCCTAGCTCTTTTGCAGACACTGCGACGATCAATATTCTTCAATATTCTGAGGTTACGCTAACTATGAGGAATGTTTCCTAAGGGTATGCAGAGAATTGATCGAGCCTGACTCAAGCTGCCTACGTATCCCCAAAAATTGGAATCAGATCATAACGTAGTTCGAATACAAGTGGGAGAAATAGAAGTATGTAATGCAATGACCGAGCTTGACTCAAGCTGCCTACATATCCAAGTGGAATCAGGTCGTAACGTAGTTCAAATACAAGAGGAAAGTGAAAAATATGAAATGCAATGATCGGGCCTGACTCAAGCTGCCTACGTATCCAAGCGGAATCAGGTCAGGACGTAGTTCAAATACAATAGAAAAGTAAAAAAAAAATGCAAGGGACCAAATCTGACTAGGATTGCCTACGTATCCCACCGAGGGAATTCAGGTCGAGCGTAGTTCTAAATACATGGAAATGATGATTTTGGGTTTTCTACGAGAGACCGGATCCGATGTGGGTTGCCTACGTACCCCACCGTGGGAAGTCAGGTCTAGACGTAGTTCTGTTACATTGAAAAATGCAAAAGTACACAAAATAAGCGCTAAACTTGAGGTCTTCAGATGTAGTATTTCTTGATGGCGTCTGAATTGATTGGCTTTGTGCTTACTCTGCCGTCCATTTATGCTAAGATTACCGCTCCTCCTGAGAGCACTCTATGAACCATGTAGGGTCCTTGCCAATTTGGTGCAAATTTCCCTTTGGCTTCTCCTTGGTGAGGAATGATCTTCTTCAATACTAACTGCCCCGGTGTGAACTGTCGAGGTCTGACCTTTTTGTTGAATGCTTTGGTCATTCTATTCTGGTAGAGTTGGCCATGACAAACTGCGCCCATCCTCTTTTCATTGATGAGCATCAATTGTTCATGCCTGCTACGTATCCATTCTGCATCGTCGAGACCAACCTCTTGGATAATCCTTAAAGATGGTATTTCCACCTCAGCAGGTATTACTGCTTCTAAACCATAAACCAACATATAAGGAGTTGCCCCAGTTGATGTTCTGATTGTGGTGCGATAACCGAGCAAAGCATATGGTAGCTTCTCATGCCATTGCCTATGACTGTCTACTATCTTCCTTAAAATCTTCTTGATATTCTTATTTGCAGCCTCAACTGCTCCATTCATATGTGGCCGGTAAACTGTGGAATTTCGATAAGCAATCTTGAACCTTTCACAAGTTTCCTTCATAAGATCGCTGTTGAGGTTGGCTGCATTGTCTGTTATGATTGATTCTGGAATTCCAAACCGACAAACTATGTTATTGCGAACAAAGTCTGCCACTACCTTCTTAGCCACTGCCTTGTATGTCGAAGCTTCGACCCATTTCGTGAAATAATCGATAGCCACCAGGATGAAACGATGTCCATTTGACGCGGGAGGCTCTATAGGTCCAATAACATCCATGCCCCAAGCGGCAAATGGCCAAGGGGAACCCATCACATTGAGCTCATTTGGTGGAACCCGTATAAAATCTCCATGCACTTGACACTGATGACATTTTTGCACATATCGGATGCTATCTCTCTCCATGGTCATCCAAAAATATCCGGCTCTTACAATCTTCTTTGCCAAAGTGAACCCATTCATGTGAGGTCCACATGTTCCGGCATGTATTTCTTCCAAAAGCCTTGTCGCTTCTGCGGCGTCGACGCACCTCAGCAATCCTAAATCTGAAGTTCTCCTATACAGGATTTCTCCGTTAAGAAAGAAATGATTGGCCATCCTCCTCAAAGTCCGCTTCTGGTTGCTTGTGGAATTTTCAGGATATTCTTGTGCTTCTATCAATCTCCTGATGTCATAGTACCAGGGTTTTCCATCCAGTTCCTCATCTACATGGAAACAGTATGCATGTTGATCATGTATTTCTATATCGATAGGTCGATGTAATTCTTGTCTGGGTGTTGAATCATTGAGGACAATGTTGCCAAAGCATCGGCAAACTCATTTTGAGCTCGAGGGGCATGCTTGAACTCAATCCTTGTGAATCTCCTACTCAATCTTTAATGCAATGCAGATAAGGCAGGATCTTGACATTTTTAGAGGTCCATTCTCCTTGTACCTGGTGAACCAATAAGTCGGAATCTCCTATCACCAAGAGTTCTTTGATGTTCATGTCGATGGCCATCCTGAGTCCAAGAATACAAGCTTCATATTTCGCCATGTTGTTGGTACAATAAAACCTGATCTTGGCTGAGATCGGGTAATACTAACCTGTTTCTGAAATTAGGACGGCTCCTATTCCAACTTCAATAGAGTTTGATGCTCCATCAAAGAACATTCTCCATCCATCATATGACTCTGATATGTCTTCTCCTACAAACAAAACCTCTTCATCAGGGTAGTAGGTCGTGAATGGCTTGTAATCCTGGTCCACCGAGTTTTCTGCGAGGTGATCAATCAGGGCTTGTCCTTTGATAGCTTTCTGTGTCACATACACGATATCAAACTCACTCAACAAAATCTGCCACTTCGCCAGTTTACCCGTAGGCATGGGCTTCTGAAAGATGTACTTTAGTGGATCCATTCTTGAGATCAAGTACGTGGTGTATGCAGACAGGTAATGCCTAAATGTTTGCGCAATCCAAGTCAAAGCGCAACATGTTCGCTCCAACAACGTGTATCTTGCCTCGTATGGTGTGAACTTCTTGCTCAAATAGTAAATAGCTTGCTCTCTTCTACTTGTCTCATCATGCTACCCCAATACACATACAAATGCATTATCCATGATAGATAGATACAATAACAATGGATTTCCAGGCTCTGGTGGGACCAATACTGGTGGGTTGGACAAGTATTCTTTGATTCTATCGAAAGCCTTTTGGCATTCCTCTATCCATTTTGTGGCAGCATCCTTCTTCAGTAGCTTGAATATGGGTTCGCAGATCACTGTAGATTGAGCTATGAACCGACTGATGTAATTCAATCTTCCCAAGAAACTCATCACGTCTTTCCTGGTCTTGGGTGTAGGTAGCTCTTGGATTGCCTTTATCTTTGATGGATCCAACTCTATACCTTTCCTGCTAACGATGAATCCCAATAGTTTTCCCGCGGGTACTCCAAATGCACACTTTGCTGGATTCAACTTCAGATTATACTTATGCAACCTCTCAAAGAACTTTCGTAAGTCATCCAGGTGGTCTGAACTTCTTTTGGATTTGATAACGACATCATCCACGTACACTTCAATTTCCTTGTGGATCATATCGTAAAAAAGGGTAGCCATGGCCCTCATGTAGGTTCCACCGGCATTTTTGAGACCAAATGGCATTACTCTATAGCAATACACTCCCTATGGAGTGATAAACGCCGTCTTCTTTGCATCATCTTCATCCATCAGGATTTGGTGATATCCCGCAAAGCAATCGACAAATGATTGTAACTCAGGTTTTGCACAATTATCGATGAGTATATGAATGTTTGGAAGAGGGAAATCATCCTTAGGACTGGCCCTGTTGAGATCTCGATAGTCCACACATATTCTGATATTTCCATCTTTTTTGGGCATAGGCATAATATTGGCTAACCATGTGGGGTAATTTGTGACCCTTACAATGTTCGCCTCAATTTGCTTAGTTACCTCCTCTTTGATCCTTAAGCTCAAATCTAGCTTGAATTTTCTTGTCTTTTGTTTTACAAGTAGACAAATTGGATCAGTCGGTAATTTGTGCGAGACAATATCGGTGCTTAATCCTGGCATGTCATCATAAGACCAAGAAAATATGTCAACATATTACTTAAGCAATTCTATTAACTCTTGCTTTCTTTCAGCGTCCAAATGTATGTTGACTCGTGTCTCCTTCACGATTTCCTCATCTCTTAAGTTGACAACCTCTGTTTCATCCATATTGGGTTTCTTCTGACTTTCAACCTGCTCAATCTCGTGTGGCAGATTTTCAGGCATCATGCTTTCATCATACTCTTCGTGATCTTGTTCATCATTTTCATCTTGCTCGGTGGATTTATTACATGTCATAACCGTTGAACGAAGATTTTTATTAATATGAGTGCTGAAAAGTGTAAAAGGTAAGTAAAAATAAATAAATATTTAAAATAACGAGATTTAAAAAAGAAAAGAAAATAAAGACTCTTCTTTCAGAGCATTCTAGCTTTTAGAAGAGGCAAACAACAAAAGATTGGGCATGATTCAAGCCCCAATTTGATCATGCGAATTTTTAAAATTAATACTACTTTTCCACACTACCAGGACTCTAGTTGAAACAGGGATGGGCTGGTGGTCCAATTCTGCAAGATTTCTCCATGTTCGGCATCATGGATGGTCAACTTATTGAGATTTATCCCTTCCTCTTCTCCAGCCATGGCCACGAAAAAATTGCCTATTCCTTCTATGATGTCGTCAACACCAGCTTGATCTGGAATAGAAAATTGTTCTGGTACGAAAATGGTATCGGTCGCCTCCTAGTGGAATCTTCCAAAGGCAGGCTCGTATCCGAGTCCATTGGTGCCTCTCTGATGGTTCAACTGGATCGGCTCAACTATGCCATTGGACTTAGGTCCAAGTCCATTCTTAGGCTGATATCCATACTTCAACATTTCTGACGCAACCATTTTCGCTGCACTTGACAACTTGGTATCTTCGGGCTCTGCTCCCTCATTGACCCTTATAGCTTGCATGATTTCCAAAGTTTGAAAAGTGGCTTCGTCTAACTCGTCGGTGATAGGGGTAGAATTAACAGAATGAATGGGGTGACTGAGTTCTCCGTGGATGGTAGTTTCTGTGTGACCCCACTCACACTTTACACATTGATGAAGAGTAGAAGGAACCGCTCTTGCCATGTGAACCCATGGTCTTCCTAACAACAGGTTGTAGTTGGATGATACATCTATCACTTGTAATAGAATGGGGAATTCAGCCGGCCCCACTTGCAATGTGAGATGTATCTCTCCGATGACACTTCTTTGCGCTTCATCAAAGGCTCTAACTTTCACACGACTTTCCTTTATCTCTCCTATATTAACACCTAAATTTCTCATTGTGGTGAAAGGACAGATGTTGCATCCAGAGCCACCATCAATTAAAACTCGAGTCACAATCTTATCACAACATTTGACTGCGATGTGAAGCGCTTTGTTGTGCCCAGTCCCTTCTGCGGGCAACTCATCATCATGGAAAGAAATCTTGTTAGCTTCCACTATTCTTCCAATCGTTGCAGCTAAGGTCTCACTTGTGGTCTCTTTTGGAATTATCACTCCACTTAACACCTCCATCAAAGCATTCCTATGAGCTTCAGAACTCATAAGCAAAGACCAAATGGATATGTAGGCTGGCGTCTTTTTCAACTGTTCTTCAACCGAATAGTCTTTAGACTGCATCTTTTTCCAAAACTCTGCGGCTTCAGCATCGGTAATATTCTTCTTTGGATTCTGTTCGTTTCCGAGAACTCTTTGATTTAGGTCCTCTGGGGCATAACACCTCCCCGACCTAGTCATCCCTTGATCCACGACAGTGTCGATCATCTTGCCCTTGACACATGCTCGATAGTCCCAAGGGACTGCTTTTGTGTCATACTCAGGCTTCTTAGCAATTAGAGTGGTCACTACAACTCTTGGGAGATATGTTTGGACAGTTAGAGGTTCCCTTAGTTGAACAGTGATAACAGGTTGCGCCGAAGATGTCATGGCATCCGTTTCATCTATGTTTGGATAGTCGGGGGTCCCATATTCGTCATCCAGAGTAACTATGTTGACTTCCCAATTCCCATGGTTTGGCAAGGGATTGTTGTTCACATTGGGAGGTGCCAAAATGCATTTGATTACTCCTCTCCTGATCAAAGACTCGATCTGGTTCTTCAAACCATAATAATTTTCTGTGTCGTGTCCCTGGACTCCCGAGTGGTAAGCACATCTCTTGTTGTTATCAAAATTACAAGGGATTGGATCAGGAAGTTTTCCTTCAACTGGTTGCAGCACTCCCGTTGTCCTCAACCTCTCAAACAATTGAGCATAGGGTTCAGCAATCGGTGTGTAAGCGCGAGCATTTCTAGCTTCAGGATTTGGATGTGGTCTCGGTGCATATGCTGGTCTATTTTGCTGAATTGGTGCTTGGACAGGGACATATGGTCTTGGAGGGTTTTGGTATGCTGGTGCTCGGGGTGGGTTATAGTGTGGTTGGGTATTATACACTGGGATGTATGAAGTATTCGTAGCGATTTGGGGATTATTGGGGTATCAGTGAGATGGTCCTCCTGGTTGGTAAGTGACAGCTGAAACATCATCCCTTTTCTTTTTGATGCCGCCAATGGAACCCGATTGTATAGCCTTACTTGCAGCTTGCAATGCGACCATAGACTAAATCTTCCTAGATTTAACACCTTCTTCTATAAAGTCTCCCATCTTGACCAACTCTGCAAACTTCTGACCCATCATTGACATCATCTTGTCAAAGTAGATACCTTCTTGAACTCGAATAAAGTACTTCGAGAGCTCACTCTCATCTAGTGGTGGTTGCACCCTCGCGGCCTCAGTTCTCCAACGTCGTGCATATTCCTGGAAATTCTCAGATGGCTTCTTCTGTGTATTGGCCAATGAGAATCTATCAGCAGTAATTTCAGTATTGAATCTGAAACGAGTCATGAAGTCCTCGGCCATTTCCTGCCAGTCACGCCATTTGCGAGGGTCTTGGAGGTTATACCAGGTTAATGCTTCTCCAGACAGACTCCGAATGAACAACTTCATCCTCAACTTCTCATTTCTCCCTACACCGACTAACTTGTCACAATATGCCCTTATATGTGCGTGAGGATCACCCTTTCCATCAAACATGTCAAACATCGGTGGTTTGTACCCTACCGACAGGTCAATGTCTGGATGGATGCACAAGTCATCATAATCCAGACTCTCTGTCCCTCTAGTGACTTCTAAGCTTTTCAATGCTTTTCTTAGACCCTGAAGCTGGGCATTTATCGACGCATCTTCTTTCAACCGAGCATCTTTTTCCATTTCTTCATATTGATCGACCTCATATGGGACATTACCACAGCTGGCATAGTGAAGGTTGGATCCCCAGCGGCATATACGGGTGGAACATGTGGCTCATACAGAGTGGTGACATGTGCCCCAAGTATCTGCTGCATTGTAGGTATGGTAGGGTCGCGGTTGGAAAGGTCGGGAACGGTCCTGAGTGCGGTTGGAGAAGCTGGTGGTACTTGACCGTGAGTAGGAGCGCGTTGAGTTTGTTCTGGCTGATTTGGCAAGTCAGCTTTTGCAAAATAGATAGGCATCTTGAAAGTAGGGAAAGTGGTAGCCGATAGTTTGGCCAAGTCTCGCACTTGGCATAATTCTTCCCTCAAGATCTCGAGTTCTTGCTCCATGTGAGCCATTTTCTCTTCATTTTGGATGTCCATCATGTTTCGAGAACCTTCGGGGTTCTCAATAGGTATCATTATGTTTGCAGCAGCATTGAAGTCGTCTTTATCAGTCATCTTTCTCTTTGTTCGAAGGTTGTATCGTGAGTCAGCCAGTTTGCAAGCGACACAAATCAACGTACTTGTGTGGATAAATAAAGAAAGGAAAACAAAGAAAAATAAAACTATGTTAGTTTGGGAAATATTGATAGCCCTAACAAATAAGTTGATATAACACATATATACGCCAATTCGGTGACATTCAAAATGCGTCCTAACATAGAACCTCTTTTTGCCTGACGTAGGCCTACGTTGCAATTAGTTTGATAATAAATGATCTGTAACACCCCGTATCCAAAAATAGAGATTTCAGATTTCTGGTGTTACAGGTGGCACTCACGGACACCATCCACGGACCGTAGATGGACTCACGGTCCGTCCTGCAGGTCCGTGGTTCGTGACAGAAAACTTCCCCAGAACTCATTCAGAAAATTTGGCTAAGTGTTGACCCACGGCCGGACTTACGGTCCATAAGTCAGGTCACGGACCGTAGTTCGTGTCCGTGGATCGATGCCCCAAAAGCCCAGCTTCAGTCCCAAACTACGGTTGACCAGCACGGACCGTCATTCGATCCACGGTCCGTAGGTCTGACCGTAGATCGAAGGTTAGTAGCCAGTTAGCTGAAAATTCTGATGGGTCAACTTCAGATGGTCATAACTTTTAGCACAAGATAAATTATGTGTCCCATAACCTATGGTTACATAGATAATTGAATTATCTTTCCAACGCCACCGAGTTTGCTAAATTCCAACCTCCGAGTAAAACATTATGCCCGTTTTAGTGAAGACCTGTCGGGCAGACTCGACCTACGGACCTAATCGACGGACCGTCGATTGATTGACGGACCGTCGATTGATTGACGGACCGTCAGTCAGGTCCGTTAGTCACTCCGACAGCAGCTAATTTAAGGGTATTTTGGTCTTTTCCTATTTCGTTTAACCCATAAGGTACGTCGTTTAGACCCTAAATCATGAGGTTTTAATTAGTTTAAGCCTAGAAACATAACTAGAACTTACCTAAGTCAAATCATTAATCAAACTTAGAAGAATTAGAACGCAAAAAGGAGAAAAGAGGTCAAGAACCCTAGTTCAAGAACGCAGCAAGGTTCCATCAGTTCCAGCCCCGAAATCAAAAACTTTCTCCGTGGAATTCATCGCCAGGTATGTGGGATTTCACTAGTGGGTTCCTTTCGCCCATTAGGTCCCTAGAATTCAGTCAGATTCTTGATTCCATGATTATGAACAGACCTAGGGTTTCTAGAATTTGAACAGATCATTATGAGTTAGTTATTTAAATGTTCCAAATCAGATTATCATGTTATTGCTCAGTTTATCGCATGAATTTCAGAACCCTAGCTATGTATTTCTTTAGTTCTTGAATTACACATGCTAGGTCAGATATTTCAGTATTCAGTTTTACATGCCTCAGTTTATGAATGCATCATTATCAGATTAATTGTTGCATTCTCAGTTTGCATGTTCAGTTTCGAGCTATACAGTATTTACAGAAATTCAGTCATAACCAGTTAACTACTTAATTCATTGGGAGTAGCATAATACCAAGTTGGACTAGGGTTTCAGCGTACCCATATAGTCCTAGAACTACGAGCCACGTAGGTGTAAGTCCCCTCTGTGGGCAACATCAGTTTAGTGATCACGCCAGCATGCCTTTATACCTCTGGCAGGGTATATTGGGTCCTCTCGATGGGGCGTATACATCGGACTCCACATTTAGCTCATGTGGTTTTATGTCGGTTATTAGTAGCTCCCACAGTTCAGTCAGACTCTATTGCATTGACCACATTTATCATTATATTCAGTATTCAGTCTCAGCATGTTATAAATTGGTCATTGCATCAGTTAGCTCAGTATTCAGTATTTTTAGTATCTATATCATGTTCATATTATATCATTGCTCAATATGCTTTGTTCAGTTATATGTTATTTCAGCTTTACTCCATCCTGCATGCTCAGTACCTTTCAAGTATTGACGCATACGTGTGCTACATCTTCTCGTGATGTAGGTTCAGGTTCTCAGCATCCAGATCACGCTTAGATCGATTCCCGATCTTCAGTTCAGCAGAATCAGTTGGCGAGTCCTCATTCTTCGGGGACAATAGTCATGAGTTTCTTTTCAGTATTTTAGTCCTTTAGTTTCAGTTTTGCTAGACTTAGCTGGGGCCTGTCCCAGCATTTCTAGTCAGTTTAGAGGCTTATTTCAGACATAGTTAGATTCAGCTTAGTGTTTTGAGTTTGATATTTCTTTTGTATTAAACTCTCAGATTTGATATATTCAGTTATAGTATATGGGTATTCCCCATCTTTTCAGATTTATTTATGAATTAGCTTCCGCATCAGTTTATTTTCTTTAGTATGCTCATGATCATGCCAGCAGGGTTAGCTTGGGATCACTTGTGGTCCTAGGTCCCGTGTCCGCGTCTTGGGGGTAGCTCGGGGCGTGACAAACTTGGTATCTGAGCATTAGGTTTAAGTGTCCTAGGATGTCTGAAAAGCCGCACTAGGTAGAGTCCTTTTCATGGGTGTGTAGTGAGCACCACATCTAATGAGAGGGAGGCTACAAAGTGTTTTAGAAAACCATTATTTTCTTGTTACTCTTATCTTGCGTAAGGTATGATCTAATTCCATTCTAACTCGACGTTCTACGTTTCAGTGATCATGCCTCCTCGTAGAGCTTATGCTAGGAATGCGAATGCCAGGAACGCAAATGCAGCTCCTCCAGTTCCAGATCAGGAAGTCTCAAATGCTGAATTCAGGAATGCCATTCAGATGTTGGCTCAGAGTGTCGCTAACCAGAACAATCAGCAAGTTCAAGCTCCTGTGAATGCAAATGGTGGATCAGCAGCAGCAAGGGTCCGTGACTTTGTTAGGATGAATCCTCCAGAGTTCTTAGGATCGCAGACTGGTGAAGATCCCCAGAATTTCTTGGATGAGATCAAGAAGATCTTTGAGGTGATGCAGGTCACTGGGAATGATCGGGTTGAGTTAGCATCTTACCAACTTAAGGAGTGCAGGAATGCTATGTTGTTGGGAGACATGAACATCTCTAGGCTCATGACTCATGCTCAGCAGGTTGAGGGTGATAAGCTTAGGGAACAGGCTAAGTAGACTAAGAAAGCAAGAACAGGTAACTACGAGTATTCCCACCAGAAATCGGGTGGTGGAAACCGCTCGCATTTTCAGCAGAAGTCTTCGACTCCAGCCCCTTCATCAGCTAGTGTTCCATCCCCCAGGTTCCATAATGATCAGAAAGGTAGGGCATCAGGCTCTAAGTCTCAAGGTAGTGTTTCAGGCACCAAAACTTACCCAACTTGCCGAAATGTAGTAAGAACCATCCAGGCGAGTGCCTTGCAGGTAAGGAAGGATGCTTTGGGTGTGGTCAGTCTGGTCATAGATTGAAGGACTGTCCTTCTAGACAGAGTCAAGGAGGAAATAATGGTAGAGCTCAGTCTACAACTTCAGCAGCACCAGCAGGTCGCCTGACTCAGCAAGGTAACTCTTCTAGTACTGGTGGCGGACAGCGCCAAAACAGGCTTTATGCTCTTCAGGCTCGTCAAGATCAGGAAGATTTTCCTGATGTAGTCACTGGTACGTTACGAGTCTTTAATCTTGATGTTTATGCATTGTTAGATCCAGGGGCTACTTTGTCTTTTGTAACTCCTTATATAGCAGTCCAATTCAGTGTTAGTCCAGAAACTCTTTCAGAACCCTTCTCAGTCTCTACTCCAGTTGGTGACCCAGTTATAGCTAGACGGGTATACAGAAATTGCCCTGTCACAGTCTCTCAGAAAGTCACCTCAGCAGATCTTGTAGAGTTAGAAATGGTAGACTTCGATGTCATTCTAGGCATGGATTGGTTACATTCATGTTATGCCTCAGTTGATTGTAGAACTAGGATTGTTCGTTTTCAGTTTCCAGACGAACCAATCTTAGAATGGAAGGGTAGTAGCTTAGCGCCTATGGGTCGATTCATTTCTTACCTTAAGGCCAGAAAGATGATCTCTAAGGGTTATCTCTATCATCTAGTTTGGGTTAAGGATTCTAGTTCCGAATCCCCAACTCTTGAGTCAGTTCCTGTAGTCAATGAGTTTCCAGAAGTGTTCCCAGAAGATCTTCCCGGAGTTCCTCCCGAAAGGGAAATAGACTTTGGAATTGATCTCCTTCCAGATACCCAGCCTATCTCTATCCCTCCTTACAGAATGGCTCCAGCTGAGCTTAAGGAATTGAAAGAGCAGTTGAAAGACCTTCTAGATAAGGGCTTCATCAGACCCAGTATTTCGCCATGGGGTGCACCAGTATTGTTCGTAAAGAAGAAAGATGGTTCTCTCAGAATGTGCATTGACTATAGGCAGTTGAACAAGGTCACAATCAAGAATAAGTATCCTATCCCTAGGATTGATGACTTGTTTGACCAACTTCAGGGTGCTAGTCATTTCTCAAAGATAGACCTCAGATCAGGTTATCATCAGCTTAGAGTCAGAGATAATGACATTCCGAAGACAGCCTTCAGAACTCGGTATGGTCATTATGAATTTGTAGTTATGTCATTTGGACTAACCAATGCTCCTGCAGCTTTCATGGATTTGATGAACAGAGTGTTCAAGCAGTACTTAGACTTGTTCGTTATCGTCTTTATTGATGATATCCTCATTACTCTAGGAATGAGGAAGAACATGCGAGTCATTTGAGAGTTGTTCTGCAAACTCTCAAAGATCGCCAGTTATTTGCAAAATTTAGTAAGTGTGAGTTTTGGTTACAATCAGTTGCCTTCCTTGGGAATATTGTGTCTAGTGAGGGAATTCGAGTAGATTCCCAGAAGATAGAAGCAGTGAAACAATGGCCCAGACCTACCTCTGCTACAGATATCAGAAGTTTCTTAGGTCTAGCAGGCTATTACAGACGGTTTGTGGAAGGATTTTCATCTATAGCCTCTCCATTGACTAAGTTAACTCAGAAAAAGGTTAAGTTCCAATGGTCAGATGATTGTGAGAAAAGCTTTGC